CAGAATCCTAATGCTGTCCTGAGTACCCAGCATCAGGTACGTACACTCAAAGCCAAAAAACTGTGGAACAGGGTGCTTGGTGAGGGGGATAGTCACAGTAGACCACTGCTCTGTTCTAACTCCCTGCTTCCAAGGTCTGGCTTGCTGCAGCACAAATAATGTAGGTGGGCAGAGTATTGATTCCCTCACTTCACTTAGCCAGGTTTCTGGTAATGTTGGCCATGCCAGCCTGCTCATCTAAAATCGGGTGCTGTCAAAGTACCTTCACCAGGCTATTTCAGCTGGAGACAATTTGAAGACAACCAGCATCACCTTTCTCCCTTCTTCCATGGCTGTATAACTCTTTCCCCTTTCCATGTCTCCATCTGCTTGCAATGGTTCCAGTGTCTAACCCTGCTCTCTCATCGTCTTTCCTTCTTTGTGAACACATTGCTCCACCCGCAGAATGACATCCCAACAAGAAGACCCTAGGCAAAACCCTAAGTCAGGCAGGCAGATGAACAATAACACCCTCCTCCATTTTCTTACAGTTTTATCTCTGGTCCTAGCTTTCATGGCATCAATAAAGTGACTCTTCCCACAGGAGGTCATCTTATATTCCACTCTCCAGAGATGACAAAAATCAGAGGGAGGGAGCAGATAGAAATAGCTGGTTGTACAGGAGAGCCTGGCATGCTCTGGTCCATGGGGTCACGAAGAGTCAGACACAAATAAACGACTAAACAACAACAAAAATGCCATAATGAGGGTCTAGCCCTCAGAGGAGAAATGCCCTGATCTCAATAGGAGCATTCCCTTCCCACCAAATGCAATTAATTATGGCTTTGATTTAAACTACATAAACATTGACAAAGATAATCCAGTAATATAAAGATTTTATTTACTGCATATATTCATGGAAGGACAAAAGCTTTTTAAAGCTTCAACTGCCTAATAAAAATGAAGCAAAACAGAAAGTGACATTGTTAAATTAATGAATAATAGCCTGCTTTTGCATTTGAAATAAGCAAACTATACTAATAGGAGACAAAAAGGTTCTAAATAAAACCCATACAAGATTTTTTTAAAGCACCCTATCATAGCATGTTTATTTGAAAGTAAGTCAACAGATGTCAGCAAAGTTTTCTTCTCAGTAAGGGTGTTTAGGGTTGCAGCTTAAAACTAATTATGACAATTTTTAATCTTATCCCCCAAATCCATATTAGCTACTAAAATTCAAGCAGTGATCTGCATAGCAGTAGTTAAAGCATCATCTTACAATTTAAATAGAAAGGTAGACTAGTTTAACTGCTAATCTCCAGTTGAAGGCTGGGGATTTACTTGCTTACTTTCCATGACTAAGAGGCTTGAAAAAAGCTCCATAACTAAAGGTTACTTGCAGTGATAAAGCTCTTTGGGTTTGAACTAATGTTAATAGGATAAAGAGGCTCTGCTTTTACATAACCAAACTGGTGCCACTTAAAAAGGAACTGCATCAATGACAGAGCTCTGGCAGAACCCATTAATATCTAGTCCACAAATCCAGTGGCCATTTGAAAAAGAGTTACTCAAGGATCCCCACCCAGGAGACAAACAGCAGCAGATGTTTTGCTACTAGTGGTAAGATACGGATTCTTTGATTGGTGATACAAAAATAAATTGTAGATTTTCTGATAGTAAAGTTTTACAAGTCCTAATATCTATCAAACAGATCAAGGGTGGCCAGCTTCCTAGAGTCTGGAAGCATTTTTGCCTTCCCCAGGATTTTGGAGGGCCGCTTCACACTCTCCAGATTTTCTTTTGCCCCAAATCACAAACTGTACCCCAGAAGACTCTGGTGGGTGCAATTTGCCATTTAGATATTTTACCTCCTGTAACCTCTTCTAGCTTTAATGGGCTACAAGCCAGTGTGGTGTTTCAGAGTGAAATGCTCCTGTGAATATGCTTCACATCAGTGCAACTAAATGGCTTTATTCCGTAAAAGCACTGACCAGGATTTGGGCCAGAGTGGGGAAAGGCTTTAGGGACAAAATGAGCACTGCCAATTTGCTAAACAACATTAGCAAGAAGTCACTGTTATATGTGCATTTAAGGAGCTTTTCTACATGTCCATACTCACTGGCTCCAACCTCAACCTATGCATGCTTATGGAGAGCGTGCATGCATACACTATGGTCTGTCAGCACATTTACTCTATTTATTGTATGTAGGTTGAATTGAAGCAATTTATGCAATTCTGCTCCCTACCATATCCAAATTCTGCTGCATATGAACATCTGAAAAGAGCTGTTCTGTTTCAGCCTAGGTACAAGCTGTGACAAACCCAGACCTACTGGGACCTGTCACACAGTTACACTAAGCTGCCACCAACCATTCCCTGTAAGAAGTCACACAGACCAGGGATGGATTTTTAAACAATAAAAAGAATAAGGTTTATTTAAATACACACAGGGTAATTAAAACAATCAGGTGAATAACATAAAGGAACGTGGCTTATTCTCACTCATACAAGCATACAGTTTGGTTCACCCAGAACCTTAACTTAAAGCCCAGACCCTGAACCTATCAGTTCTGGCTAACCAACAGACACCTGAACCTATCAGGTTGGTACTCTGACACACAGTAGTACCCTGTCTGACACACAGACTCCCACACCAACTCCTTCTTCCCAGCTGCTGCTTCGTCTGCTTCGCTTCTCCACACACGCATCACTTATTTATACAGTACAGCCCCTCCTCCTGATGTCCCGCCTTCCACTCCCCATAGGATGGAACTTTCCCTCCAAACCCATGACAGACAGGTAACATCAGTGCTGTATGTAACACAAGCAACCAGCAACTGTGACAGAATGAATTCTGAAGAGTATTACTTTGGACAATATAATGTAGCTGGGATTTGAGAGAGACAGGGTACCTGTGAACTTTGCTGTGAAGTGTATGAGGTAACCCTGAGCTGGTTACCGTCTCTCATCCAACCTCTTAGTGTTGCTGCCAGGCATGTCACCTTGAGCTCACTATTATAAAGGTAAATGTAGCTAATAAACAAGAACAGAATAAATAATGAGATTCAACAAGTTCACAAATTATGAAAAATGAAGAACTTTAAACTTGCTAGCCCATGAAATAATAGAGATCTTATTTTCATTACAGTGTTTAGAGAATACCAACAAGAGTTCTTTCTAGTCCAGTCGGATGATATCTTCATCCTTAAGTGACAAAGCCAATAACCTGTAAAACACCCACAAAGCTCACTTGATCAGTGCTTTATCAAGTCCAAAGTGCAATACTGTACACAGAGAGAGAGGGGGGGAGGGGGGAGAGAGAAAACACAAGAGGGAGGGAGGGAGAGAGAGAGAGAGAGAGAACACAGAAGGAGACTGCTTGTAAAAATGCCAAGCACCAACAGTTCACTGTGGGGTGGTTTTAATGGATTCATTCTAAAGAAGGAAGAATGGTTCTTCCCAGATGCTAGGCACAGATGGGATCTCCATCCTAGAATCATAGAATTGTGAAGTTGGAAGGGGCCTATAAGGCCACCAAGTCCAACCATAAGGCCATTAAGTCCAAACATTTGGAAATGAAATCATGACTCATGAATTTGTAGTAACATTTGTCATCCAAGATGATTCTCAGTCAAGAATAATAAGCAGGAAGCAAAGAGTTGGGATAGGGTTTTACCACAGTATATTCAATTTGGATTTCAGAAGAATCTTAGGGTTTTTTCAGTAGAAAAAGTTAGAAAACACATACTTCTCACATTAGTAAGTATGAAAATCAACACAAAATGGCACATCAAATGTAAAACTGTACTGAGCAAATCTGACAGCATTTCCTGAAAAGTCATCATGCTGAAAATACTACAGATTGTGTTTTAACTGATCAATTTACTATACACTGTGCTTATGCAAACTGGTTTGAAACGCAACATGTGATAGAAAAATGGGACTGTATCATATATCACCCTGTGTCTGGTAAATATAGCTTTCTATGGACCCAAGGATATTTACACATGGAATAATGTTCTCTAGTCTAGGACATATGAAACATGTGGTCTGTTCCCAGGATGTTGATGGGGTGTTAAGGACAGGACATAGACATGTTGCATGTTCAAGATATTTTCTATCTAAACACTGTACTCACACATACATGGCTAGTAGGCCATAATGCAGGACAGACATTCCCATAGCGTAAGGATGAAGTGCATTTCCATATGCAGCTGTACCTGAACTATCTCCCAAAGTGTTTGGCTTTACTTTTGACTCTAGGGCTTTTAACTCTGACTTTGATTTGTCACTAGCATATACTTCTAAGTTTGCAGTTGTATCCACATTCCTTGGGAATAAGCCCCTCTGAAGCAAATGACATAGAATCAGGCAGTAGTTATCTTTTTCTCAATGGCCAAATTTTCTTGGGCAGCTGCACCAGCATAATGTGATGAATGGGCATAACTTTTGGAGGGGAATTGCTTTATGTGAGTTGGTCGACTCAGTATAGAATAGATACTATCTAGGATACTTATTAATTTAAGGCAATTTGCCTCTGGAACTTGTGCCATTTGTGTTATGCCAACATAACTATGCAACAGGATTTTGACCTATATTATCTATCCTAGTTTCGACTGTACAGCCGGCTTCTTTCAAGATTGCTTGGCTTTCCTATGGCCTATATTTTTATTTTCAAATAAGGAGTCAAATTGTGTTTCTCTTTCTTCTGTGAAAAAAATGTCACAAATGACATAACATTTCAAGAATGTTGCATTAAAGGTCAATTCATTTCACAAAATAGTATTTGAATTTTCCCACTTTCTCTTTAAAAAAAACCCTGTCCATAAATTTAAGTGTTTTAAAATCAATTTTCTATTTTACTAGATATTATAAAAGAATACTAAACATATCAAAAAAACGCAGAGGAAAACTGATATATCTATAGAATCAATCCCAAACTTGTTCCATGTTTTTAATTTTAAAATTTTACCATTCATGGCAAATACAATATTAATTATACAAGGTTAATGGTACTTACTCCTGTTATGTAGCGATGTCTATACTGGATGGTTCCAAATAAGCCAAGTATGACTATAATAATGTGTACAAAATTTGCCAGGATTGGTGCCCACTGATAACCAAGGAAATCAAATATCTGTCTCTCCAGCACACATACCTAGGATTAAACAGCAACAATGTGATTAGAATAGCTTGAAGAAAAAAAATTCTTTGAAAAATAATAAATAAGTAAATAAATACATAAATGTCTTCTCTATTCAATACCACCACTAGAATACCACATTTTATTTTACTGAAAACAGTGTATCATTCATAGCAGGGGTGGGCCACATCAGCCACATGTGGCCCAGGGCCATTTTCACAGTCCCCTGGCATTCATGCCCTCCTTTTTTTTTAATTTAGGGAGGGGGAAAATGTTCTTTTGTGTCCTCTGTTGTAGAAGGCATTTTAACTATACAGCGTTTGAGAGGCCATTTTAAAAGAAAAGAAAAGTTGGCACTTAAACTCATTTTTAAATTAAAAAAAACAATTATAGCAACCTTTACAGTACATAACCACCATTTTGACTGTTAAAATAATAATAAAAAAAGAGGAAAAGCAAATTAATTATTTTATCACAGCCCATTTGGGCTGCTGGTAAATTTGAAAAATAGCTGTTGATTGCACTGAAATAGCTCACCCTCTTTCATAGTGACAATCCAATGAGAAGCTGATGAGTTGCCCTCAGTTAACACATTTGCATGGGCATGTTTTTTTTGCCAAAATATAGATTTCATTTAAGACATTATCCAATGACATGAACATAGTGCTTAAAACATTAGCACTTGTCACTAACAGGAATTCTACATGAAGGTAGCTGGCTGGCTTAGAAGTTCAAGGAAGAATAGCACAATGGTTAACCCTAAATTTTCCACTTCAAATGCATGTTTTATTTATGCTGACTTCTCCTTTCTGTTTTTCCAGGGCTGTTCTATAATATAATGTAATGGGTAATAGAAAAAAGGTTTACTAATTACCTACACATACACAAATTAGCAACCAAATTGGACACAGTGCCAATCGTGCAATTAGCAATTGTGTGGAGGGCTTTTAAAAAGGCCCTTGCTACTGTCTTCATCAACATCTGTTTCCCCAAACCTGTTATATGTATATTATGAAAAAAACATCCACTGGAGCAGAAAGGATCTTTTCCTCACAATGTAAACAGCACGTAAAGTGTGGTGCAGGTAAGGACCACAGTAGAGGAGAAAAGATGAGAGCCTCATATTCCAATGGCAGCCTCTTAGTCTAAAGGACAGGGTGTGTGTGTGTGTGTGTGTGTGTGTGTGAGGCAAACTGTGCATGCTACTTATTTTTTTTTAAAATCTAGTCACCCAATTGCTAATTATGCGGATGGCGCCTTGTTCAGTTTGGTCCTCACTCTCTTCTAGAGCTACTTTCCTCCATTACTGTTTTTTTTAATACAGTACATGATTACCTTCCCATATTAAAAAAATACAACCCAGGAAATTTGTGATTCTTTTTGTTTAATGGCGAAAAAATCAGACACATGACTTTGGCTTAGGAGCAGGACCCTGCACAATTGGAGTTGTATGAAAAGAACCCTTTCCTGGAAGAGATTCCGAGGTCTGGAATGTGTCTCAAGCAATGCGTTCTGCCTCACTGGAGTCCTTTAAAAGCTGACGCTGCACTCATGGGCCATTTGTAGATCTTTAGGATTTATTTTGTATCCACAGTAAATATTACTTTATACAGTCAGATTCATAAATTAAGAACGCTTCAGGGCCCCTGATTCTAATGTGCTGGCAGAGCTGGGATTTCAATGGGAGAAATGAAGGCACACTGACCAAGGTAGGAGGTTGACAGCAGGGAGCATTCTCTGCTTCTGCCCATGGAAGGAACCTTTCCTCCCTTTTGAGCAGCAGGAAACCAAGCCTGGGTGCATCCATGCAAGACCTGCTTAAGGCGAGCCAAGGTTTTTTGTTTGTTTGTTTTTTCGCCTACTCACTTTCTGAATTTCTCTCTCTTAATTTCTGTGAGGTAAGTGTGAGAGAATGCCTAATGGTGGTTTACAAAAGTGTTCCCCATAATCAGATCTATTATTCTTGAAGGTGCTACAAGGCTCTTTGTTGTTCTTCTTGTAGACCAGTGGTCAGAGAAAAGGGGTAAATTACCCCAAATGGGATAAAATCCTGGTGGTAATGAGGATATGACCCTAACTCCCTTCCCTCCTCCTCCTCCTCCTCTCCTGCCAAGGGAGGGGGGTTCCTGGCTGCTAAGCCACAGCAGATGGCGGTGGGCAATGGGCCCTGGTCAACAGCTTACGGCAGCTGAGGCGGCAGCAGCAGAGCTGGCCATGGCAGAGGGTGAGGCCAGGGCGAGTGGACAAAGTGCCCCAGCCAGGACGAGTCTCCCCTTCCAGTGCCTGGAGAGGTAGATTGCAGTGGAGGGGGGCGGGTGCAGCCATGATGGCAGCCCAGGCCAGACTCAGCCTCCTGGCACTGGGATGTCGACACCACCCCATGCCCTCTCCCAGTTCCCAGAGGAGCCTGTTGGGTGGCGGTGGCGCTTGCCTGGCCACACAGCTTCCTTTGGTGGCACCTTCGTGCCGGCCAGTCAGGCCTGGCAGAGCTACTCGCCCTCCATGTGGCAGCTGTCACGGCGCTTCAACGGCGAGGCCCATGGGAGCCCTGACACTGCTGGCGCTGGAGCAGGAGACGGCATTGGGCACCCCTGGTGGGCGAGCCACCTGCTGCTCTTTGATGGCTGCCCAGGAGCCGCCCGCCGGTGGAGAAAGGGAGCCGCCCCGCAGGGCCAAGGACTGAGCGCAGCCCCACCAGGCAGCTCAGGCATAGGCAGCGAGGCTTCAGTGGCAGTGCTCAACTGGCTGTGCGTGACTAAGATCCTTCCTTTCAAATGAAGGGGGTAATGTAGGCGTATATAAATTTTTAAAGGGGTTAAAGGTAAAAAAGTTCCCTGATCCCTGTTGCAGACTAACAGGGTTATCTTCTCCTCAAGATCCCATATCTTGTACAACTGGATGGTAATTCAGATATCAGATATTCTTTTTTATTCCCTTAAACCATGAAGATCTCCCTGTATTGCAAAGTCTACAGGGAAGCTGTAACTGCATTCAAGGGAAGAATTTTTAAGGGGGTTAAAGGTAAAAAAGTTCCCTGATCCCTGTTGTAGACTAACAGGGTTATCTTCTCCTCAAGATCCCATATCTTGTACAACTGGATGGTAATTCAGATATCAGATATTCTTTTTTATTCCCTTAAACCATGAAGATCTCCCTGTATTGCAAAGTCTACAGGGAAGCTGTAACTGCATTCAAGGGAACACAGTTAAAAGGCTCCAAGTAACAAGGAAGCACTTCTTACTGTGTTCAGCTTTATAACCATATTCAGACACAAAGCTCTTTTGCAGACTTTGCCAAGAAATATGGGGAAGTTAGGAAAGGAGGGGACAGGACTACACTGGGCATCCCTAGCTTCTTTTACATGTTGATGGATGGCTATGCTATGTTCAGCAGTATTAGCCGGACCACACTTTACCAAAACCTGGTGTAAGGGAAGCTAGGAATAAAGTGAATGCTTAAAATTGGATTTGAGGCTAGAATTTAAACAGAGCTGTTCCAAGATAATATCCACTATATATTATTTGATCTCAACTGGACTTTAATTGGATTTTCAGAAACATTTGGACAAAGTACAGGGGATCTTCAATTTAGAATAGCTGACTTTAAACACCCCTACTTTTACTAGAATTCCAGTATTGACTTATGTCCTAGCATCCTAAAACCAACTTTACAACCACAGTAAACAGACTGTAAACTAGCATTTACATCATCAAGCATGGCAGTAAAATAGCAAAAGTCAGAGGAGAGCAGCCAGCCAGCAAGCAAGAAAATAAAACATGATGGAGAAGTGTGGAGACAAAAGAGGAGTGCCCAACAAAGCACTTAGAGAAAGGAGGAGGGGATGGAGAAAATGGAAGACATCAGAGCTTGGAGAAGAACACCCAAAAGGCAAGCATGAGGGCATGTGAAGGAGGAGTGAGAAGACAGAGGAGGGGAGAGGGGAATGACTAGCAAAAGAAGCAAGTAAAAGAAGGTGTGATGGTGAAGAAGACATCAAAGATGTCATTTGTAAGACATGAACGTTCTCAAGACCCAACCCCCTATTTTAATATTGTGCTTAATAGGAAAATAGGATTTCACTTATTTGTGGCTCATCTTACAAATGTCCGCAGAAAACTAATTAGGTTTTATGTGTGTGACGTCTGCTGAATTTTAAAGGTTCTTAAGAAAACTGAATAGTGAGAATACATTGTTTAGAGATAGCCACATAAGGATTATGGAGAAAGGTAACAAAAGATAAATCCCATTGAGTGCAGTGTATGTGCATTGCATTCAGATAAAAAAGGACTAAACTGAGTTGCCACTTGGGACTATAGTGCAGATTAATGTGAACAGCATTGAGAGATTATATCATTCTTATTCAAATGGCATAATGACCAATATGGGGATTCATTTACAAAGGATTTAAATTTCAGTTTTGAAGAGGACCCTCCATACTAACAATAAGCTCTTTAAAGTATCTCAGCAAGTAAAGGGTGAGAAGGAACCCCCATCTAGTACATAACCTATAACAGCATGGATAATTTACAAGGCAACACTACAGCAGGTGATAATGCTACTAATTATATAGAGAGCATGAAACTAATTATGTGGAAACTGCAGTGTTGGAGACAAACAGCAGCACCATAGGCAACATATACACATGGAAAACCAGACAAAGCAAATTTCATCATGCCTGAACCTTTCACAATGTTTATTTAATGAAATCCAACTCAGAGTGTCCTTGTTTCAACTTCTGCATGCTAACATCAGATCAGGTACTTTGAGTACCACTCCCTTTCCCCATTTTTAAAGAGTCTTTTTAAAGGAGGGGAAATAAGAAAAAATATCAGAAGAATTGAAAACCAATCTTTAGAAATACTAAGCTGAAAACAGGAGATACATTTTATTTACAATGCATTTTATTTACAATTATTTATTTATTAGTTGAAAATGCAGTGTGGTGTAGTGGACAAGTGACAGACCAGGACTCAAAAGACCTGGACTCAAATCCCCACTTGACCACTGAGGGGGTT